TAAAAGTAAGAGTTAATATAAACAATGGTTTCTCGAACAAAGAAGCTTTGGTGACCATCTGATGACGGAAAATCTATCCGACAACTCTTAAGTCCGAATACTAAAGAAAGGTGATAAGTGGCACGTTTATCAGTTTGGGGATATCAGCGCTGCGTTCACACCGGCCTGGACATGGAAGGGATTTTCAAGAAATGCGTCATGTACCGCATTTATTTGAATTTACGAAATGGAACCTAAAGGTTACCCAGGATTTTAAAGTAGATAAGGAAAACAATTTTACTGTTTTATTTACCGTACACCACTCCGTGAGCTTTCTAACCTACCCTTATATGAGCGTTATACACGTTACTTTCATTTTCAAGTGCCAGCAATCTCAATGGCTTAAATAGAATTATAAAGATATATGTGCCTTGATAATACATACGCATTACAAATATACATGATAATACATACACCTAACGAACGCTAAGTTGCTCCTTGACCCATCCGCTTGTATCTAAAAATATTAAGTGGTAAATGCCATCTATGTTTTAGATGTAAAATTCTTGTAACAAGGACGCGTTTAAACACGTCTTCAGGAAAGCAACAGAGATGGCGCTGTTATCAATATTTGTTTAAATGTTGTATTAGCATTACCTCTTTCTGTAACGTACCAGAATACCACACTAAGTGAAGATTTTAAGGAGAGATAATAGATTATTAAACGGGCCTGAGTGCATTAGTTAATTTGAGAAGAAATTTGTTTAGATCACTATTAAATAACAACATACCTTTTTTATAAAAAGTGGAAGCGATCGTCTAATTTAAAAATAACACGCGCCTGCACTGTATTTTTATTAGGTTTTGACACAAATCTCCACGCCCTTCCTATAGTGTTTTAGTCATTATAGCATTTTTACAATATTTGGCAAGAAAAAAATTGCTAAAATCTACCAAAAATACATGAGACGCGCGTGCAATTTTACTAACCCTCCACTAAATTAATTATGGAGTTATGTCAAAATCTACAGTATAAATAATAATACTTAGACATGTAAATGTGACACTTTGTCGATAATTAAAGAACAAATAAGTAAAATATAATTGCGCTTATATCAATATAATAACAGAAATTGGCAACTACAATATTATAAAGATTAGATACAACTGATTTTACGGATTTTATCGATATTTCAACGTAACTTTTTATGTTATACCTTTTGAATACATTACATCAATAATAGCCACAGAGGGACCGAGTTCCATTTAATATGTCAAAGTTAACTCCGAGACTACCTTCAGTCTATTACTATATTAATTTTAGTCCAATCTACACAAAATTATATTCTGCTATCTTACAGCCACTTGGGTTTGAATTTAATTGTATTAATTATGGGATTCCAAGGAGAATGTAGATAATAGCATTCTTCCATATTGAAATAAATGTTTTTATTTTTATTTTATTAGCCTCGCGTATCGATGTATTTGTGGTCTACCAAATCAATGTAATGAGGGCTGTTCTAAGCACACAGAGGGAACGAGATAAAATTCATAAAATTAGTTTTATTTAATATATTGTAGTATTTGTTGAAATAATATATGAAATCATTAGATCAGATATCTTAAAACATGTCATAAATGTTATTCGACGATCGATAAACTTTAGTAGAAAATAATAACCAAGATCAAGGTAATACATTTAAATTTGCATTGCAATTCTAAATGTCCAATTAAATTTTGAAAATCTATCTATTACATCACAGTCATCATTTACTTTGTGAAACATAAAACAACAGATGTATTTAGTATGTGTATACATAATCATGTACATGTTATGCCCCTTTTATCTAAAACTCTTGGCAATATTAAAACAGTAACAATATAATACAACCCCTAATATTACAACAAACGGCTTAACTAAATAGCTAAGGCAGGTACATTTATTATATTATAGTGTTCAAATTACGTCTATTCTATATAAATATGCTCAAAAAATTGTAAAATTGTGACAACTATACATACAGGATATATTGATATGGAATTATAACAATAACAACAGGCGTAAGGTCACGAGTTATTAGCGCTGGATATTAAAAAAAGTGCAGAATTATTTTTTATTTTTTATCTAATTACGTGATTGTATGATTTGATATCATATGCAATTACTGATATTATCCCCAAATACCGACTACTGAACTATATAACCAATCGGTCAGGGTGATTAATGGTGACATTAATCACCCTGACCTTTCACCTTATACCAAACATACCTATAAAAAAAATTACTTTGCACGTTGGTGCATTTGAAGGCCAGCGCTTGTAATCCGTGCCACTTGCTGTACTTCTAAGCCTGAATCACAAGCATTCCTAAATCAAATTTAAATCTTCGACGTTATAAATTCTGAGTAATATTATAAGATAAGCACGTTTTAAAATCTTCACACTACAGTCGTTCGTCTATATTCACAAGCAATATAACGATTTAGTTTTATAATTCAAATGTGTAAGATACCAAACTTTAAAATTATGAAAATATACATTATTTAAATGAATTTCGCGGTGCAGATGTGATGCAGAGTGTGATACAATACTGTCTGTTTCACAAATTACTTATTTTTCGGTAAATTTTTAAAATATGTAAACATTTATTTTGTTTTCACTTTCTGGTAGAGTATACTTTTCTTGTGATTTCAAAATCTAACCCAAACAAATAAACAACTACCCACAATTAAAAGCAAAGTATTCTTACAATATTGTTACAAAGTAGCGTTACAAAAATTGTGACATGTATAAAAAAAATAATAAACTAGCATAGAGACCTATTTTTAAATTTATTGACACCCCAAAAATATATGTAATAAACAACAATTTATACAAATTAGAAGTAAACAGTTTGTTAATGTCATACAGAGACTGACTGCCACTAGGAACTTATACTAAAGAATACTAATACACAGTCTATTACGGACAAAAAAAAGGAATTATGGATCTAACATGAAAATTGAAAACAAATACTTAAGAATTAAAACAAGAGATAAAATTATCTTGTCCTTATGCTAATACACGGCAACGGGGAGAAGTATATCCCCGTTTGACATAACGAGTGGACATATATCCCCCGTTCATATCATGGAGCCAAATGAAAGATAAAACATTATGCTTTTTTGACATTTGAAAGGGACAATTCTATTCTAGTTCATTGGACGTGGGTTTAAGTTTATATTCATACAAAAAATCTATCTAAGTCTAAGTCTATCTCCCATTTTATCTACTGTGGATATTATATCCACCGGTGTGCCCATGCTCGAAGGGTGTATAAAACTAAGCGAGGGGATAAACATTTTCTCCTTTCCCCGGGGATAAAATTGTCTCCTGCCCATGCTAGCCCTGCAGGGCAAAAAACCTTTAGTAGCCTTAACATTCTTTACATTTATTAAAATCAGTTTAATTACTGACTTTCAATTACATACTTATGTAATATTCGTTAAGTACGGTTTTCGCGTGACTGAAAATTAAATCAACCTAAATTTTACTACTGTTACTGTTACAGCCTATTAAAGTCCACTGCTGAATATAGATCTCCGCCATAGATTGTCTCATAGGAGGGATATAATGGACCATAATCGCCACGCTTGGCAAGCGGGTTGGCAACCGCGGTTTTTTTTTGTCGTTATTAGAAAGACGCTGTCGTCAATCTCCTTATATGTTTCCCTCTGTCGCCCATTACGACATCCACGATATAATATGGGGTAGTGTATATTTTTACACCGCCACTACACGGTAAAAAATTTACTAATTGTACTAATAAATCACTGTACGAGAAACTTTTACTTAAATAATTCTTAGGCAATGTCTGCTACTACCACAAATATAACTCGAAAAAATTATAAGCTACATTCTATTTTCTAATAAGCCATGGCCATGTTGCTCAAATTGAAATCGATTTTCACGCTGGAAAAATCCGAAGTACCACTAATATATTCAATCACTTGCAAACTGTACCTTTAGTAGAAAATAATATGTGATGATACCAAAAAATTAATATAATTATCGCATGTGATATACCATAATATAGTGAATAGTTATTGATAATATTCAAACAAGTGATTCTAAATTCAAATTCAAGCTTTTAAATACTAATTATTATTTCAAAATAGTAAGTGAGCGACTGGCTGTGAGTAACCACAAAGTTACTTACTTTGTGTGAAGTGACCAATAAACATTAATTCATTTAACATTATTTAAAACGAGCAGCATGAGCGATCTAATTTCTGTTTGAGCAGCAACATTACGTCTTGCATTATACTCAACGTTTGGCTAATCGTCTATTTAAAGTGAGCTTTATTAAAAATAAGGTGATTAATATAGCAATATCTCACCAAGAAATATCTTGCTGAGCACCATAATATGCAGATAATATTAGCCTAATGTTATTTTTTTTTCTTATTATATAAAATGTTCACGCCCTTGGCGTCCCAGCCGCATCTTAACCTACTGGCAATCACATTTACTATTTCTCGTGGCTTGTTCAGTATTCTAGTTATTAATTTGCTATTTATATCGTAGTACCTAATAAAAATTTTATGGATATAATTGTTTGTCACCTTTTACAGCCCGTTTTAAACATATCTACACTATTAGGCAATTGCTAATTTAATTCGCAAAAAAAATAAAATACTGCTCAAGTCAATATTATAGAATGTCGTTATCAGTCAGCAACAAATATTTTGTCCCTCATTTTTACAAATATAAACGAACTATAATCATTTACTCATAAATGGGTTAATGCGTTATGTATGTAAGGAATGAAAAAAATAATTGTACAATAAACGTCAAACAGTTTTCGTAGGTTCTATATACATAGGTACATATAAATAAGTATTTAAAAATTATTTAACAGATGATTCTGTGGCGTCGATTTTTGACATTAACACGTAGCACTTAAAACTAAATACCTGTTATTGAGCTCCATCTTGTTTCCGCCTAGCGCCGGCTGGGGAGCCGGGTAGGTATCCCTTTAGTCAGTCGATGCTCAGGTCGTTGGAAAAATGGCGCGACAGATTAGCGATATCGAGGCCCGTGAAGTCGGTGAAGATGTCCGACGTAGCGGTGGAGGGCTTCGCTCTACCCGGGGAACTACTGCTTGTTGAAGCTTGATCGCAATGATCTATCGTGACTAGACGGTCCTCCTTGCTGCTTACTTCGAAGGGCTCCGATATGCCTGAAAAAAGGATTTAATAGCATTTAATAAGGTTTCGATTTATCTGTTTATATACCTGTGATGTGAGATCATGTGTATTAAACTGGCGGTGTTGAAGGTAGACAGAATAAATTATAACTTTATAATACAAAATGCCTGATGTCCACTTTCACCTACGACCCATAAGATTTATGGGACCCCTTAGCATATTTAGGGGCCAATTAGGGGATAGTTTCCGTTTCACCACTTTTGAAGAATCCGTTACTGACTAAACGATCCCCTAAATTTATGAGATGGATTATTGGACCCATAAACCTTGACATAAGTAAAAGCGACTTCTAGAGGACAAGATGGACCGTGATCTATTTGATTTTCTTGATAATTTAGACACGATTGATACTATATTTGATATAAATCGTAGTCGAAGACATAAAATATGAGTGAGTCCAGTAATCATGAGTGCAATAAAGCAGTCAGAACGCTGACAATTTAAAATGAGTTAAAAATTAAATGCGACAAAATTATAACACAGCATTTATAAAAGCTTTTAGAAAAATTTACTTCGCAAATATCCGCGTTATAAAATAAAATGATGTGTCTTATCTTGTATGAAGAGCACCTCCCGCTCTCCCTCAATTGCGTGCACTATCCCCGTCAACACTAATCCCAGCACCGCTACTCTCAACGCCACTACACTAGGCAAGACACACCACTGACGATAATACGACACGTGTTTCGCCTCTACACGAGGCATCCTCAGGTGATATAGACTACGGTGGCTAACCGCTAAGTGAGCGGCGAGCCAAAACAAGTGCCTTTTATACAGACCGCTGACGCAACCGCTCTCTACTTAAGGAGCGATCGACTGCGTCATGCGATAAAACATGCGACCAATCACCGCCGGACTTACGCAGCCGTTTGTAAAATTAAAAACAAACCGCCGCGCAACGCCCACCCTCCAATCACGCAACCAATTGCCGAACACCGTGAGGGTGACAAACAACCATATTGCGAGGCTCTATTATTAGAGAGCAGGCTTAAAGATATTTAAGAGAGGTGAGTTAGTAACATTTGTTTGTTCATTCAGCAAAAATGGTACTTAACTTAACGGCAAATGCTCTTTATAACGTGTCTCGAAATTGCGACTGCCTAGTGTAGTGGCGTTGGGAGTAGCGGTGCTGGGTTTAGAGGTGACGGGGATAGTGCACGTAATTGAGGGAGAGCGGGAGGTGCTCTTCATACTAGGTAAGACACATCATTTTATTTTATAACGCGGACATTTGCGAAGTAAATTTTTCTAAAAGCTTTTATATAATGGATTTCCGCAAAGTAACGCCTGATTCTATTAATTAACACAGCATTTTATTTTAACACAGCGATAATTTCAACATAAACCATTTTTTAAATATTTTAAATGGTATTTTACGTGGTGAAGCCACGCTGCAGCTATGCTAACTATATATACATAGGAGCAGCATGAATGGGTCAAATCGAAAGGGGTGAAGAGAATCCTGGCGAGGAAAGAAGACCATACGTTACGTATGGTGAGTGTAGAGGACCGGAGACCCTTTTTACTGGATGCGAGGCATTCCATCTTAGTCCTCAGGGGTGACAACGCATCTGCATTTTGATTCTTAATCGGTAATAGATATAGAGATATCTCTGGGCCATAGCATCCACCAAATATTAGGTGGACTATATGCTCGTTTGTCATGCTAATTCTATTAAAAAAAACTCCTAAACTCCTACTCTAAAATCAAACCGTCAAGTGACGTAGTCAAATAGTCTTATCTATATAAATTAGTCGCAGCAAAGTACATTTCAAAATAATTAGCGTAACTATTTACAAGTTACTATTCTGCCTTTATTGCTGGCTAATTTAATATATGTCTAACTCCGTAAATCCAATAAGAAATTGTATATAAAATGTTGCTAGAAAAGGATTAAGGTTGCACGTATTTTTTTAAAGAATGTGTTCTCCATACGTTTGACAATATTGCAAAAATTAAACATTACAATATAAGCCTGACAATCTTACCAAGAACGCTTCGAACTTCGTTATTAGGCTGGCTGAAGTAGATGAAACGGTAGAAGCCAGGCGTACGTACGCCACTGCCCACTGGGAAACTAAGCGTGATGGTGCGAGGTCGCCCGCTGGCCGTGGGGGCTTGTGGCAAGCTCACTTTAGCCAAGTATTCGTACGCTATATAGTCGTCCAAGTTATGGAAATCCGCCTAAAAAGGAAAAACACATAATTAGTTAACATCACAATTAATAGAAACCTAAGTCATATGATTTGTATTTGTTACTTTTGGTTTTTTGAAACTTGGTCGATTTTAATTTTTAATTTAATCTAGCAGCGCGTTGCAGCCCCAAAAGAAATAATCGTGGAAATATAGTTTTAAATTTGCCGATACGATACGCGCGCCACCTACTGTAAGTTAATTGTACTATACCTATAACATTCGCGGAAGTGCAAGCAATAAGGTGTTGACAAAGTATAAAAGCAGCGTACGTAGGTATTACGTACGTAGGTATAATACTTTTTGTATATCTCAATAAGTATTGAGATACAAAAAGTATTCTAGATACTATTAATATTTATTTTACATCTTTTCAAAATATTCTCCATCATGCTCTATACAAAGTTCCATTCGCCTAAACCTACTCTGAAAACACTTTTGCCAGTCTTGATCTGACAGGTCAGAAATCGCTTCTTCGTAGGCAGCCACGGCTTCTTCGGCAATTGAAAAAAACTTGCCTTTTATTTTTTCTTTGACTTTTGGGAACAAAACAAATCACAAGGAGCTAAGTCAGGGCTGTAGGGTGGGTGACTTAGAGTTTCAACACCAGATTCCCCAATAAATGCTTTTGTTCTAAGGGAGGTATGTGAAGAGGCGTTATCGTAATGCAGCATGATTCCCCGAAGCCCGGTTTTTGGTCTTCTCTCCCGCATAGCTTGAAAAGCTTTGGGTAATGCAACTGTAGTATATAACCATTCAGAGTTGACTGACCTACAATTTTCTGGCATTGACGTCGACAAATGTCCGCTCTGCGAGAAAAAACTAGCCACCATTTTTTTTGCCGACGTTGCGAGGTCTTTGCAGTTTTGTCGGTAACTGTCCTTCTGAGTAAACCCATACCGATGATTGCCTTTTATTTTCCGGATCATATTGATAGATCCATCTCTCGTCACCACTAACGATTTCTGAAACACGCCTAGATGCCCCGTTTTCAAAACGTAGACGCATTTCATGGCACCAATCCACACGAGTCTGTTTTTAGCTTTCGGAGAGCAAAAGAGGGATCCGTCGACAACAAAGCTTCCTCGCTCCAAGATGTTGATGTAGGATGGTATGAATGCTCCCCGAACTAATGCCTACAATCTTTTCGATGTCCGTATATGTGATTCGTGGGTCTTCTCGCACCAACATTTCAGTAGTCCATACATTTTCTGCCGTTACTGCTGTTTTTTTTATAGGGTCGGGTGACATACGGGCACACAGTCCACCTGATGGTAAGTGGTTACTGTGACCCATAGACATCTACATCTATCCTCAATAAAGACTCAAGATGCAGATGCGTTGTCACCCGTGAGGACTAAGATGGAATGCCTCTTTGCCAGTAAAAAGGGTCTCCGGTTCTCTACACTCACCATACGAAACACAGCAGCGTTAAGCTGCTATTTTATGTGAGATTTTATTTTATGTTGGTTTTCTGTGAGAGCGTGGTCCTTCCTCGGTCGAGCCGACCCATTCGTGCTACAACCATAATATAGCTGCAGCATGGCTCTACCACGTAGAAAAGTTTGCAGGGCCCCGGTTCTTTGGTCATTTTATGATTAATTTTACCCCTTTTGAATTCAGCAAACCACCCAAAAATTGTAGCGCGTGATGAAGCCGACTCCCCTAATGCTGATTTTAAAAAAAAAATGTTCACGGCATCGTTTTAAATGAAAAGTGCGGGAAGCGTTGCAGGAAAATGAATAGAACTTTGTTGTTTTTTTAATACTGAGCAATTGGCTTATGGAATATATTATTTAAATAAATTTGCTTTTTTGAAACATATAACACGGCTGCGATCCATTTTTAAATTTCGAGCATCTCAAAACTTATTGTGTGACCTACGTATAAAATACGAACAAACAAATATTAATTTTTATATACATATTAGATAAGAATTTTCTGTACTTAAAAATATTAACCATTATGGGCCTTACTGATTAAAATTACGTTAACTTAAGAAATGTAGCTTTTTCTCTCTCTATCTTATTTCTTTAGTAAATGACAATAGAAAGAGACAGTTATAGGGATAGTAAGCGATAGTAAACGATTATGGGTAAGGTTTTTAGTAGTGGTGAAAGTATATTTACCCCACATCACCTGTGGATGTTGTAAGAGACGACCGAGGAAAATTAAACCGGGAGAGTGGCAGGAGTAACTTCCCTAGAACAACTAAATAATAATAAAACAACAGCCTGCCAAGCGTGGCAACCATGGTAAAGAGTACCAGCGTGACTTAGCAGCTTTGTTCTTACGCGTGAAACTTCCCTGATCTTGATACTTTTTGTATTATCATTGAACACCGCATTTTGCAGTTTGGGACACTTATGCCCACCTCGCATAAGTTGGTCAGTCCGTTCAATCACAGTTTAAAGATCTTAAGCCGAATGTCCACCGCAAACTAAACTGATTTAGTTTAATCTTAGCTCGCAGTTACATGTGAGTCCACCGTAAATATTTTGCGGTGAACGCACAAATGATTTCAAAGCCTGTATAAGGACAAACTACAGAAAAATCAATGAATAATTTCAAAGCCTGCATAAGGAAAAATTGCGGCCACAATTGAGAGTTATGGTGATAACGTGAATGCGTGCACTGTTAGTTTGCTAATATCATTTGATACCCAAGACCAAAATAAATCAATAAGTTTAACGACTACAGACAGCCACAATTATTGTATCTGGCACAAATGACGGTCAAACACAAAATCCTCCCATATATGCACAGTATTTGCGCAGATATAATAAATATACTATCCCTACAACTTCCTTTAAAAACCCGTCTGTAAAAAATTTACTATAGGATCCAGTACTTCTGATAAATAGGAATAACACTGAGAATATTAAAAAAAATCTATAGAAAGAGAAATATATTACCAATATAAAGTCCTAGAAAGGAGTCTAAATAGTCATAGAAATTCTTTAGAATTGTGACGAATTTTTTTTTATAGAAGTAGGGTGACAAACGAGCACACAGTCCACCTGATAGTACGTGGTTGCTGTGGTCCATAAACATTTACATCTCTCCTCGCTTGCGAATCAAAATGCAGATGCGTTGTCACCCGTGAGGACTAAGATGGAATGCCTATTTTACAGTAAAAAGGATCTCCGGTTCTCTACACTCACCATACGAAACACAGCAGCATTAAGCTGCTATTTTACACTGGTATTCTGTGAGAGTGTGGTCCTTCCCCGGTCAAGCCGACTCATTCGTGCTACAACTATGTAATAAGAAGTATGTATCGCCTCCTACTCCTACTAAATACTATGTGTTGGTGGGAACATAAAAATTGCACAGGCGTGTCCACGTCTGGTGGTTATATTCGTTATTTGTAAGTAATAATAGATCGTTCGAAAATACCCCAGAAGGTCAACAATTACCTACACCTAAATATTTAATAGTAGTTAATTATATAAAAGAAAAGATGATATAGATTTTGTAAGCATACAACCTAAGTTTAGAAGAGAATGATTACTGCTATTGGTGTGGTTTTAAAACATTTTTAAGTGTCCCGTAATTCCCGTTCTCTCCACTATTATTAAAATATCACAGAATTAAGAAACTAGATTGGAATAAAAAAAATATTCATCAAAACATTCAACTCAAACATTGAAGACCAGTTCATAACGTAACAACTTATCAAGCACTTAAAACAATTATAGTTATTTTAGCGTTGATTGCAATAAGCTATTACAAGGCATTAATTACGAGGAAGATAAATAGTACGATAAAATTTAATGTAAGCAAGTATGTCTACCGTCAGAATTGTTATGTTTTCTTTTTGTATGGTCTTACATTTAAAAGTTATATGAAACATTTCAGTTGTGGCTTTGGCAACTCGAAAGAGAAATGAACCAATTATAACAACTAGTGAAATAAGCAGATCAAAAATCCAATCAATACAATGTTTTACAAAGGGTGACAAACGAGCATACAGTCCTCCTGCACGGCTAGCATGGGCTGGGGATAAAAAAATTATCCCCCGATTATATCCACTGACAAGAGATAAATTTATCTTATAAAACAAAATTAATAATTAAAAGCCGAAGGTATTTCGGCTTGACTACGACAGCGGGACATTGAACACTCTAGTCCCACCCCCTTCTCCGTGAACGTGGGCGCTGCAAAGCACTTGAAATGTTGCGAGTTAAAAATAAGCAATATCAATCCGTAAAAGCAGTTTATTTAATAAGAATTAACTAATGAAAATGAGCCCGAAAATTAAACGCTCTGCTTGTGGTTACATAACATTTGGGATTACATATAATACGACATAAGATTGTTTCTAGTAATTACCAAGAGATTAGCTGTGATTAACCAAATTTAAATAATTAAATTATACGGATTTTATCGTATTTCATTTTAAATAACAAGGGCAGAAAAATAGTTGACAAAAATGATTGCGTCTACAAATAACTAATATATAAAAAGAGTTTAATTATTTTTCTATGATTTTTCAAATAAAAATGTATGTATTTTAGTTAAAGCCACAGAAAAAACATACATTTTGGGAACATCAAACGACTAATCATTTTACACTATTCAAGTGTTGCCATTTAATATATTCATACTATTTTCGTATACACTTTATTAGACTCAACAAAACACACAAACACAAAATATTTTTATAGGAAGTTATTATTAGTAATAACTATACTATCAGTAATAAATATATGTAATAAATATACATAATATGGTTGAAAATAAGTCTATTAAAAAGAACTTCCTGCAATAATACATTATCTCAATCATAGTACATATGGAACAATTCCATTTAATGTTATTATGGCAACACTAGCTAAAACAAAATGTCATTGTACGGCACAAAGGCCCAGAAGCCATGCCAGAAATATAAGTTTGTTGTCATAGAATAGTATGCAAATATATTATAAATAGAGATACAATAATATAAACATTTTCAAATATGTAGGTAGGTACATTATGTTGAGAATGTATTAAGCTAACATCAAACAACCACAGAACGTATGACTTTTTCCAAGTGACATAAGATATAACCTAAAACCTTTTTAGGTTATCTTTTTTGACACCTTCTCAGAACAAAATTTTTGACAAGTTTACTCAGGGACTGATGCTTAACATTTTAAGGTATTTTTTATATACAGACGCTACCTTTCTTCTCAACTAATTTTTTGTATGAAAGTCTGTCATTGTTCTTTATACTTCCGATATTTCGAGTGCTCTGCAGTACCCATGATCACGGGAGCTGACGAACGGATGAGGTTTCTTAAAAATATAGTTTTATTCAATATGCATTATTCACCTAATTATAAGAAATGAAATATGATGCGCAAATACAAATTCGAGTTATACCTTTTATCAATGTAACTTATCGGTACTGTGTAAATAATCGATGTTCCAATAACACGTTTTCTTTGTTAAATACGCACTCGCACTGCGACCTTGACATCGAAATTTAAACGACGAGGACGGCCTATGTATAAGACTATATGTAGGTAGCAATTCAATTGAAATCAAATATAATAAGACCTAAAATTAATCTTAACGATTAATTATAAGCAGCAACTATGAGAAATGCTACATGTCTCCACCTGATGGTTAGTAAAGATGGAATGTCTCGTTTCCAGTAAAAAGGATATCCGATTCTATAATACCAGAAATCAATTTATGTGATTTATTAATTTTTAGCTCTTTTTTAATAATATTTATAAGTGGCTGGAAATTTTAAGATGTTCGAATTTGCTTTATAAATTATTAGTCTGAAATAATCTTAAAAACTTATGTAACGGCTTTATGCAATTTAGGAAACTTATACGTGGTAGAGCCATGCTACAGCTTTATTTGTAGTATAGTTGTAGCACGAATGGGTCGCTCACGCTCTCACAGAATACCAGCGTAAAATAGCAGCTTAATGCTGTTGTGTTTGGTATGGTAGAGAAACGGAGACCCTTTTTACTAGAAAGAGGCATTTCATCTTAGTCCTCACGGGTGACATCTGCATTTTGATTCTTTATTGAGGATAAATGTATATGTCTACGGGTCACTGCAACCACTTACCATCAGGTGGACTGTGTGCTCGTTTGTCACCATATCCTATATAAAAAAAGGTTTTTTTATTTATTAAACGCTTTGTTTAACAAATCTTTTTACAACTTTTTTATTGCATTTCACGCTGAATCATCGTGATACTTACATCATAAATGCCAATCCAATCGTTGGGGTTTATCTCAACATCGGGCGACAATGTGCATTGCGTCCTAAAGTCGGCGTCGCCGATGTACCATATCCTTACTATGGGGGCGAATTCCACTGTCTTCTCTGTGTAGTTGGAGAAGGCCTGCAACAAAATAACGGTGGAGCATAATTAAATTAATATTAGCCCGTTAACAGGAGGTTGCCATAACTGCTACACTTGGAAGCGGATTAGAAATTACGCTACTCGACGAATCACAACTGAGGAGCAACTACGTTCGGTTTGTATGTTTTTTGATGTGGCAAATTTACAAGTGGTGAAATTAACAAATTTTGTACAACAGAATTCAATATAAATTATTAATGATAACTCAAAAACTATTGGTCAGACCTTGATCAAATTTATACGCGAGAAGCACAGGCTTTCAAATAAAAATATAATCATCGAAATCGGTTCACCTAGAAAAAAGCTATGGTAACACACATAAAAACAGTCGAATTGAGTACCTCCTCCTTCTTGAAGTCGGTTAAAAAGATACAATATTCCTAGGTGGATATGACAATGTGGCCCACCAAAAACACCAAATAAATTGCGTATTTGTATATAGATTTTTCTAAAATGCACGGGCAAATGTAGTCATGCACTCATTGGTGCTAACGGCTAACGTTCCCATTTTCCTTTTAACCTTCCCAAATTCCGAGGGATACTTGTATACAGCATCACTAAACTGTGCTTAAGCAGAATAAATTTAAGTAAAATTTATAAGAAAGCGATCTAACGAAGTGATCGAGTATTAACTTAGCGCACTTTCGTAAAATTAAAAAAATAATAATACCGTTAATTATTTAATCGCAAGCACTTGTAAATGGTGTAAATATATAATAGTTTTATATATTAGGGTGTGAAGAAAATATGCCAAACTGAACATGCTGATAACCAGACTAGCCTCCGCTGACCGACCAATGGCGATTTGGTGGTGGATTGTTATAACATTTTCTGCCGACTTCCAAAAAAGGAGACGGTACTCAATTCGATTGTATGATTTTTTTAATGTGTGTTACCTCATAACTTTAACTTTGTACTGGGTGAACCGATTTCGATGATTTTTTTTTATATGAAAGCTGATAGTTCTCGTGTGGTCCCATATGAATTTGATCAAGGTCAGACCAATAGTTTTTGAGTTATTCTTAAATAACTAATATTGAAGTCGGCTGAACAAAATTTTTAATTTTAAATTATACTTCATTTATTTTAAATAAAAAATAAACCGTGTAGTGGCGATATAAAAATATTCACTACCCCATTCGTCCCAAGAGTGTCGTAAGAGGCGACAGAGCGAAACAAACTAGGAGATGAGCAGCAGCATCTTCCTTATGTCATAAGGATAAAAAACTGCGGTTGCCAACCCGAACGCCAACTGTGGCAATTATTGCAAATATCGCAAAACTATTTAGAAAACTGTAATTCGCTTTAATTTAAGACTAAGTCAAGATTGTATATTATTATTGTAATCAGTATTTTTGACATTAATTAATTAATTAATCGCCCTATGAGACAAACTATGGAGAGGCCCATGTTCAGTAGAGGACTTATGATAGGCTATAAAGATAATAATGATGCTGACTTTATTCATTTAATTTCAACAGAGGGCGAAAAACATTGACAACGCAATATTATGTACTTCCATTAATCACAAATGTTTTTAATTATATTTCCGGAGTAAGCTTATGCGTCCTGGTTAACATTTAAGAGTCAAATAATACCCGATACTTAGTACAAATAGATAATTATTACTTGATAAATATTAAACTTATCACCAAGTTATCGCTTTATCACATTGATTATCGCACATATACCGTGCGATACGTCGTAAAACAGGAAACCATATTGAATGAATAAGTATATTCTATTGTAAGAATTCGAGCATTCTTTTGTAAGACAATTAATCCCTTTTATTATCCTGCGGGAAACTAAGATATAATGACGTAAATTAAACTTAGCGAATAAGGCCCAAACTGGCATTTGGCTGGTTTTTCAAACGATTCATCTGGCTTTTTAATATTATTATTATTATTATTATTCTTTTTATTTTTGCCGTGGTACCTAACTCAGGGGTACCACGAGCTCGCTGTAAATTTGACAATACGCGAGCAACCAGGGTTCCATCCACGCCGGCACCAATGATTTTTTTTTATTTAATTGCAATCTTAAGTGCTCATTTACCACGTGCCCGGCGGTGAAGGAAAACATCGTGACGAAACCGGCATGTCTGAGAAATAAGAAAAAATATTTTCGAAGACATTCACATGTCTTTGTCAGTTCGCCAACAAGCATTGGGGCATTGCGGTGGATATTTCCTTGCCCTAAAACCTTTTAGAAATGAGATGAGGCATGTATACCTATATTACGTCCCACTACTGGGCAATGGGACGTATATAGATTGCAACTTTATCTTTAACCTTGATTATTTTTGTTCCATGGCTAGTAAAAAGTCACAGCTTGAGCTTTAAACGTTTTCTGTCCCTCTCACTAACGTTCAACTAACATAAAAAACTACATGCGTGCACGAACACTACAATCTCACTGCAAGGGCGAAATAATAATATTTTAATGAATTAAAACTATTTTCACGAAATGATATTATTGTAAGATAAATGACAACAGTGCTTTAGTAATGAAGCAAATCAGGAACCAGTAGTCATTACCATACGAGAAAATCTTATCGTAAAATTTGGAATGGATTGCATAGTTGTACTTGAATTTTCACAAAGAAAATCTACGTGTGTACTATGAAAAGAGAACTTAATATTTTACTCTTGTATTATGTATTACGATATGTTTTATATCTATATGTAATACTAAAAAGTTATGTAATTGTGTAAAATCAACAGAAAACTATTCACAAAAGAAATAAAAATACACGCAAACGTTACGACTTCATAATACTATCTAACACTACACATTGAATAAAACTACTTTTACGGATTCTATCGCGTTTAATTAAGTTATTATTATTAATTCCATGGTGTAAAGCACCCGAAACGTCGAGAATTAATAAAAAGAAGTTAATTAAACGCGATAGAATCCGTAAAAGTAGTTTTATTCACTATCTGTCTGCTTCAGCGATTCAATGTTATTTATTTGTACACATGCACATCATGCAATAGAATGCTTACCTGTTCAGGTGCGGAGTGATCATCAACGCTGTTGCCGTACGCAGGAATCGAAGCGGTGTCAGCAGATGAATCATGGATGGCAGTAGCATCCTCAGCTGCGTCTATTGGCGCTACTATACCAGCCCGCATTCTAATCGTCGAGCGTGCTGCTTTCGGCTTATCAGCCAAAACGGTTCGGGTGAAGGCAGGCAGGATCTAGCGTGCAGGTTAGTGTTAAAAGCGACTATACATAGCATAGGGAAGCTCAGTCCTCATACATCACGCTCCATCAATCCGAAAATGGTTTAGCGAAATTGAATGCTATCGCTACTGGACGTATCAACCCTTTTATAGTCTGTTCACTTAGATACGGTCGCATTTGTGTCGCGCTGCCTTGACATCAAAGGTCGCCGCGTGCGGCGTACACCCGCAGGAGAATTAGATATTTAAAAACGAAACGACGTAGTGAAAGGTTATTTGCTACCTAACTTGTGATTATAATTTATAATTATATTTTATTACAATAACCATAACAATAAAATAATATTCTGTTGGTGTTTTTATAAAAGAGACTCGGGGTGTAACGACACTATCTTGGTGAACAGACTGTAGTGAATATATTTCACATTTGTTATTTTCAAGAGAGTCATGCCGCCATCTATCGGAAGGCCTAACATTTTTATGACATTTGCCACAGTCGACTCTTACGAAACCCATAGGTCAAGATGTGATTCTTTTAAACTGCCACCATACGGTGTAATTATTACCGTTACCGTTACAGCCTATTAAAGGCCACTGGTGAACATAGGCCTCCTCCATAAATTGCCTCATAACGGGGTATTTATCATAGTTGCCACGCTTGGCAAGCGAGTGGCAACCGCAGTATTTTTTATTTTTAATCATTATTAGGAAGACGATGCTTTCAAACTCCTAATTTATTTCCCTATGTCGCCTCTTACGACATCCACGGGATGATATGGGGTAGTAGATATAAATGTCTATGGTGTTATATGTTGTATTGTTTAGTCTATGTATATTTTCTGCAAGTAGCGGCACGAAAGTCTAGCGCATAAGTCGCACTGATTGGCTCGTGCATATCGTTCGAACGCGCTGTTTGGCTCTCCAGTCAAAGAACCATGCCCACTTTTCATATATTTAAAAACCTGATAGTAAAAGTTTATGTATAGTTATAAGGTATAGTAGAAAAACTTCCTGTAAGTTTAGAAAATAATGTCATATAGTAATTTTTACTATTTAAACGCTACGAAGTCCAAAAATTTTAATGTTACTCTTTAGGTTAGGAATTGCCGTTAAAATAAAATACTAATACTAAATACTTAATTTTTCTAACTATTATTATTGTTCTATCACCACTTCCTCTGAGATAGTACTAAGAAAAATCTTGTGTATCCCTACATAATTCTATTCTATATGATCCATGAAAAACACGCAAAATAGCACAATACACAAAGAGACGCAAACACAATAAGTGATTATATTCTCTTTGGCAACAACGAATGACTGCGCCGATGCCAATAGAACAGTCAAATGTCAAAAAAATCCGTTTCATTCGAGCGCACTCTAGGACATACTACACGATTAATTTATTTAATTATTATGTTATTTTTAATTAATCTGTGCTATAAATAGAGTAATAAAGAAATACTTACTGATTAAATAAAACATAAAATAATGTTTAAAACTCAGAAACAGAGTTCAATTAAGTCAGAGATTTTTGACTAACAGAGTGTTATTAAACAGTGTGTAAAATGGAACGTCCTAAAAAAGACAATTGAGATGCGTTCAAAATATGGCGGTAATAACGTTTAACCTTGACTTAGAATTAGCTTAAATAAATATTAAAAAATATTTTTCTCCTGCGTTTCTTTTAACATTGTGATAAGCGTATTCAATTTACAATTCAATTAGCTTAATTTTAAGATTAATTTCATTTCTATACATAGTCAGGTGAAAAATGGGCATCATTCT